CCACCAACAATATCAAGGAAAGAACAAGACATTTTTTTCTGCTGGAGTTTAAGCAACCGTTATCTTTATTCCTTTCACCGACATTCATTACGCTTTTGCTTTTTGTTTACTTTCGTTAACTGGTTGTATTTGTTTCCCGTGGGAAAATTAAATCGTTATTTTCGTTCCATAAAGTTTTCACTGTACTTTTTAAATTTGTGACATTTTGGAAAGTCTGTTTCTTTGTTGTATCTTTTTTGTTCATGACGGCAATATATTTGTTTAGATTTTATTCGTTTTGCGGAATGTATTGTTACTTGATCTGGTTACGTGACAGATTAGCACATGTCACGCAGTCGACACGCAGACAGGAACCTGTGCAAATCGCTAGCGGTGCCTGCCGTGTTGTACGGGATCTTTTGTGTTTGGGACGTCAAAAAAGCCAAAATTAGGATCAAAGTAGACTAAACGAAACTGGGTTGTGACACGCTATAGAAAATGACGACAACAAGTAACTTTTAAAGTTTACTCATAACCGGCTCAGTGGCTTCAATGAGTGCGCCGGTCGGCCCCCGTTACACCAACTTGCAGAGGACAGTATTTCGAAAGTATCTTCCAAGCGGCATAATAAGAGCCTATAAAAGATTTCTAAGGTAAAGTAACTATTGATATCAAAGCAAGCATAACAAGCTAAGTGCAGCTGCGACTCAAACAATGGTTTGCTTGTGCCACTGCAGTGTTGATTTTGTTCATTTCAATATGGCGCCATTTACAATTTTACCGAAGTTTGGTTGGTTGGTATATTGAAACAGTAGAAGATACCAGAAAAATGAAACGATAAATTTGAAGACCTACCTTATAAGCCCTCGTGATAGTATTGCTGGAAATTTTGAGACACTACCACATGCATTTTTGCCACAATATATTAGGCCAGGTTTGACGTGAACTAAAAATGGCGAAGATGTCCTCTGGTAATTAACCCGTGGTTTCATCAGGAAGGACGCAATACAAAAAATATCATTATATCTTGGTAAAGGAAGGCCAACTGTATATATTTATAGCTAGACAATTCCTGCTGTCGCATTTTAGTTCATCTAAGGTCGGCCTGAAAACTACATA